TCTATGAGGCTTTGAACAAAAGTTAAGTTTGCTCCATATGTGGAGCAAGCAAATTTCAACTCTTTTAACATTTTAAAAAGGAACAGCAGCATGAACTCGCACATGTTGGTTTTGCTCATTTATCTGTTCAAAAATTGGAACGAATTTAATTCTAAAATATCTTCTCCCTCTTGTATTGCAGTTCTGAGACTAAGTTGGAGGGGAGAAAGATTTGTAAGGGCCATGTTGAAGAGATTAAGCCTCAACCTTCCTGAAGAGAGAGGGGAGATCCGGATTGATGGAGCAGGACCACTTAAATGTAAATTCTGGAGGCCTATTTCCAACCCAGATTCCTCCTCTGACTGTGAATCCTCCTCCAAATCCCCCAGCACGGTTCCTCCCCCATCATCTTGCATCTCCCTTCCTAATGAAATTTGACCTGGGGCATTTCCCTGCCTAGCACTGGTCTGGAGCAAAGACTCATGCCCCAGCAGCTGGATTTCTTGACTTTAACCTGATAAGAATGGAACAGGCTTAGATTCTGCTTGGAGGCTTTCTCTCTGAGTTTCAGGAGTTACAAATCCAGCCTGGTTTTGTTCTACCCTTAATCTTTCTTCCTGCCTTTGATGTGTCAGGTTACCTGCAGACAGAGAAATCCTCAGAGCTGGGAAAGGCTGCCTACCAGGTTTGAGGCTTTGACTGCATCTCTAAGACCCGCAAGTAAGTCTTTTGAAGACCACTAACCAAAATCTTGGTCTGAATATAAACACATCTCTATTGCAGTCAAAATTTTTTTCTTAGTTGTTGATCTTTATTTTATTTATTTATACATGGTGCTGAGAATTGAACCCAGTGCCTCACACATGCCAGACAAGTGTGCTACCGCTAAGACAGCCCTGCAGTCCAATTTTTTTGTACATTTTTGATCATACTTTTAGACAGGTCAGCTGAAATGCAACCTTCAAATAATTTTCTACCAAGCCTTTCCCAAGAATACAAATCAAGCGATTCCTCCTCACAAAACCATGGACAAATGTCCCTAATCATTTCTAAAAACTGATCGAGCTGGGCTCTTTTTATATCTTTTACTCTTTGTTTAATTATCATCATCAGAATTGCAAAATAGATCTCCCTTTCTGAAAACACAGAATTCCCCATGCTTAACAACTAACTAACTTTTCTCTCTACTTTCAAAAACCAATCCACAACACTCTGAAAAATATAAGTGCAATTTTCCTGTGAGAGAAAACCAGACCCACTATGTACCTTGAATACACATGATGAGTAGTGCCTGTCCAGGAGCCAACTACCACCCACATCCCACAATGGGTGTTGGAATTGGGATCCCTCTGCGTGGTGTGGCTGGCAGTGAAAAGACCCCACGGACCTGGAAGTAATTTTTTCACAAAGTAACGTCATAAGTTCCACATAATTATTAAAGCTAATCTTGCTTCATCAAGTTATTGAAGATGTCCATACAACTGTTTCTTTATACATAAAAATTATTTTGACGTAAGTCCTTTAAGATGTCATTGATAACTCTATGTTATATGAACTCTAAATGAGACCACTGTCCTAAACAATACTGTTCACTTATTTTTTACCCATCCACTGTTGAAGTACTGATTCCCCATACTTAAATAAACATTAGGTTTACTAATGATACTAACAGTTTTTCATAAATTGGTAAATATAGGGCTATTCATTTTTCTATTTCATTTTTAATTAGTGGTAAAAAACAAAATATCTTTCCTATGCTTATTAAACATGTACTTCCTATTCTAGAGAGATGTCTATATATATATATCTCTCATGCTCCTAGTAAAGGCTACCTCTCTTAAGTTAACTCTGTCTCTCAACTCATTTCAAATTAAGATAATTATGTAAGTTAATCTAGAGCTAAATTCAAAATACAAATTGTTATATACAACTTATTATATACTTCATTTTGTAATTCTGTTAAAGTCAAAATCAAATCATACATTTAGTAAAAATTGTTTCTATTTACCATAGTCCCTTTCCAACTCAATAATGTCGACCTTAACATAGCTAATAAGTAATTTTTGTCAAGTTTCATGACCAATTAAAGATAATAAATCTTTTCTTATTATTAAATACTTGTACTATACTAAACTTTGTCTATGACTTAAAACCAATGATACTATGATACTATGCCAAACTTTTATTAAATTTTAACAAATAATAAAAGGGGGGGGGAAACAGTACCTTACATGTATGTACTATATCTTAGAAAATATTTCAAAAATTTTTTCTTAATTTGTGATAAATTTCTGCTGAACATGGCTCAGTAAGTTAAATCAGATTTCAAGGGATAGAATCTAAACCTGTCATCATGGGAATGGCTGAAAAACCTGACACAGGAGGGTAAACCTCCACCCACAGATTTCACAGCCATGTAAGATTCACAAGCTGCCAGGTAAGAAAAATCTATGAAGAGACTTCTGTGGATCCATTCCCGAATCCATTCCCATTCCGCCCTTAATGTACTTTACAATGCGGACTGGAAAATCCACCTAGATTTAATGATATTGACTATAATGGTCAGCTACCTATATGTTGATCCCATGGTAAGAATGCTGGCTGGCTAAGGGTATCTTTTGAGGAAAAGACAGAACATGGGGAACCTAAACCAGCAATCATGCTGGTACTTAGAATTTAAGACTATACTTATATACCTGGATAGTTTTCAAAATAGAAAGAGTATTGAGATGAAATTTTCCCAGACAGGTCAGTTATTTACATAGAATATCCATCAATGTATTATTGCCCTAATCATTCTACAATAGAATTTGGCACCTTTCCTAAATGGATGAATTGTGCAAATGCCTTGCCAGTACAACAAAATTTTAGACTGGTCTCCCAGAATTGACAAAGACAATTATGCAAGGATGCCATGACACCTGGAGGTTTTATTGGTAATATTCTTACCTTCAGCAAGGTGGCATCTAGAAGGATGTTTGGTGCCTAATTGCTGCCCCAGAATCTTTGCACAACTGACAGACCTATGCCTGATTTTGTAGGCAGGAATTATAAGGAAGTTCCTGTATGACCTACAGGCATATGTTTAATCTCCTTATGCTTTGTTTATTGGAAATGTGAGTGTTAACAGAAAGGATGATAAATATCTTGTAGTCTGTAAATAATGCAACTTAACCAATTGTATCACTAGTTATAATAGAGGAAAAGGACATTCATCCTTCACCTCAAAGGAGGCTTTGTCCTGTTGCCAGCTAACATTTCAGAAAGGTGGTAGGCTGAAGTTGGTGTTCTCGCTTTACAACAGGTGCATGCCAGTTAAACAGACCAAGTGAGCTCTTGGTCTCATGATCCTTGGAGTGGCTACTTTTCTTTTATTCATTGTTTCTATGATTATAGCCTCTGCAGCTGTCTTAAATATTACAACATGTGAATTTTCTTAAAAATTTGGCTTAAAATACTTCACCAAGTACCAGGAAGGGCATAGAAGGCCTATGTGCTTGTTAGACTGTGACAGAACAGGAGTGCACAGGTTCAGTTGATGTTTGAGAAAGGAGGGGAAAGTGGTCAGACCCCTGGGACCAAACTGACCTGACACTTCTAAGATAGTTTGTCAGCACAGGTGTGTCCCTTATCCAAAACGCTTGGCACCAGGAGTGGTTTTGATTTTAGATTTTTGGGGGATTTTGTAATAGTCACATAATGAAATATCTTGTGGATGGGACCCAAGTCTAATCACACAATTGTCGAGAGCCATCTGTGGACTATGTGTGGACTAAACTGGCATGGTACCCCTGGTGTCTGGAAACTTCCAGCAGCAATTCCGCTGGTTAAGACTGCCCAGATACATGTGAATTTCTATTTAGCTCTGCCAGGTTCCACACAGTACCAGAGACGGGGTGATCTGCTGTAGCCACACAGCCTCTCTGAGATGGGTGTGGCCTGCCAAGATGCCAATCAACCTGTTGACTGCAAGACATCATGAAGCAAGACTCCTCCCCTGAAACCTTATCCCTGCCTTTGATGTTCTCCCTTAAATAAAGAATCAGAGCAGTTTTTTTTACGTCTTCTGTTTCAGCTCCTACCAGGACTGGAAGAACCTATCAGACACTCTCTTAAAACAATAATTCTGACTGTCTTTTATTTCTTCATTAATTACTTCAGACTTTATTTTCTCAGGCTGCTTATCTCCTCCTTCACAGGAAAAATTACCCTGGCAAGGTGCTCATACAGAATTCATTTGTTTCTTATACACTTATACACATAGCCTGAAGGTAATTTTATACCATATTTTAAATAATTTTATGCACGAAAAGAATTTCATGGTGCAGAATTTTCCACTTGTGGCATCATGTCAGTGCTAAAAATGTTTTAGGTTTTGCAGCTTTTCAGATTTTATATTTTTGGGTGTTCAAATTGTATCAGTCAAATTAAAAAAATATGTATATCCCATGATTCACCAGTTACAGTTTTAGGGCACTTACTGTTGGAATATTCCCAAATGGCACCACATTAAATATAAAGGGGTTATTTTTTAGTTTGCAAGAACTTCCCACAAACCCTTATGCTGGGATTTAACCCAGGGTGAGCCACACCCCAGCCCTTTTACTTTTTTGAGACAAGGACTTGCTAAGTTTCTGAGGCTGGCCTCCAACTTGCCATCCTCCTACCTCAGATTTCAAGGGATAGCCTTCTGAGTAGCCGGAATTATTGGTGTGTGCAAAACACCTGCCTTTAGTTGCATGCTTTTGCTGTGTTTGTAGAAAACCAGTGTATGGAATCAGCATTCAGGATAGAGAAGGGGAAGAAGCAATTTAAAGTTGTCAGAGTCATCAAAATTGAGAACATCTTTAGGCTGGGGATGTAGCTCAGTTGGTAGAGTGCTTGCCTCACATGCACAAGGCCCTGTGTTTTATTCTCAGCATCACAAAAAAAAAATTGAGAACATCTTTCCACTTGTCCTCATACCTGCTCAGTGTGCCCCTCTCCCAGTGGATGTGGGTTTTGTGTGTTCTCTGTTGCAGGAGGCTGTGAACGTCAAGGACGTGGCTGTGGTCTTCAGTGAGGAGGAGCTGGGGTTACTGGACTCTGCCCATAGGAAGCTGTACCAAGAAGTAATGCTGGAGAACTTCAGAAACCTGCTCTCTGTGGGTGAGGACCAGTGTCCTGAGTACTGAAAAGTCAACCCTCTGGAGTACATTGTTTGCAAATATTTAAGACTTTGGGATTTTTTACAAATTTTTTTAGTTGTAAATGGACACAATACCTTTATATTGTTTATTTATTTGTTTTTATGTGGTGCTGAGGATTGAACCCATTGCCCTACATGCATGAGGCAAGTGCCCTACTGCTGAGTCAAAACCCCAGTCCCAAGACTTTGGGATTCTTGAAATGCTTCTCTGAACTTGGGAGTATGGATTCCCTAATTGTTGAGGGACACTTTGTACTTTACTCTTCTCAAATTTCAATTGCAGAATCTTGGTGGGTTTTAAAAGTGATTGGTGAGTTACACCATTTTTTTTTAAACGCAGTGGAGTAGAAATACAACTTGTTAGGAATCACATATAGTACTCAAGAATAGTGAATGAAATAGGAAAGGAGAGGTAATAAAAGTGGGTGTTGGTTAGCATCAGATCCACTGGTCACTTGTGTTGAGAGCCACAGCCGAAGGGGCCCCAGCAAACTTCCAGCTGCCAGCAAACTTCCAGCTGCCGGCTGATGATTGGCTCACAGCAGCCCCAGCAACATCTAGCTGATTGGCTCCTCTGCGGTGATGCTCATTGGAGATGCTCATTGAGCTGTTTCCTCGCCCTTTCAGACTGCCAGCTGATGATTGGCTCACAGCAGCCCCAGCAACATCTAGCTGATTGTCTCCTCTGTGGTGATGCTCATTGGGCTGTTTCCCTGCCCTTTCAGACCATGGAACTGCTCATTGGGGGACTTTTTTGGCTCCGCCCACACGACCCAGCCAATCTGCCTCAAGAGCAGGAGGATGGTGGGAGGTGTGGAGGCTTGTGGTTGAGAGAGAGGCTTGTGGGAAGCTGGTGGTGGCAGTTGGGGCTCTGAGGGTTTTTCCTGAGGAGCTGTTTTGTTTGGCGTGTGTGGTTCTAAAAATAAAGTTAGGTTCTTTTGACAAGTGGCTCCTGATTGTGCCCAGCCAGACTGTGGCATTTGGTGGCTCACACGGGGAGCGACTGAGGGTAAGTGATAAGGTAAACTACTCGCCCCTGAGGGCTGGGCGAGAGGATGGGTAGCCATTTTAAGATTCCTCTTTTGTTTTGCTTCACTTTTGTTTTAAGTTGCCTGTCCCTGGAGATGTGTAAGATGGAAGAAAAACCGCTCACATCTGAGGAACAGATAGGGAGAAAGGACGGATGGACATTTCAGGAGGATAGAAAAGCTATTATAATGATTTTCTGTTGTTCCACTTTTGTTTCATTCTGGCTCAGTTTTGTTTGGCGTTATCTTCTTGGGTTGTATTATAGTAGAAATATTCAATTAAATTATATAATTATATATAAATTATATATAAATATATATAATTTATATAAATTATATATAAATTTATAATAAATTATAAATATATATATAATATATATAAATTATATTATATATATAATATATATAAATAAATTTATATAAATTATATAGTAGAAATATTCAATTAAAAGAGAAGGTCTCTCGAACTAGTCAGACAGAGGAAAAAATTCAAGTAAAAGAGAAGGCCTCTCAAGCTAGTCAGACAGAGAGGAATTTTGCAAGGAGATGGCTAGGCGAAATGCAGCAGCTGGTTATCCTCAGAGAAATCTAGATATGTTGTTAGGAAAGGGACCTTATGAGGATCAACAGCAACAAATTGCATATGATCCTGGTGTACACGCACAAATTGCTGTAGATGCAGTTAAGGCATGGAAGACTTTACAAGGACATGGAGGTTTACAAGGTCAATTATCTAAGGTAATGCAATGAGCTAATGAATCTTACGCTGAATTTATAGATAGGCTTATTCAAACAGCTACCAGAGTTTTGGGGAATACAGAACAAGCAATGCCATTAATAAAACAACTGGCTTATGACCAAGCAAATCGTTGGTGCAGAGATATCATTAGACCATGGAAACATGAAGATTTAAACACATATAAATTATGTAGAGACATTAATGAACAAGAACAAGTCATGGCAGCTGCAGTAAAACAGGCTTTAGATGCCAGAGACATTAATGAACAAGGGCAAATTGTGGCAGCTGCAGTAAAACAGGCTTTAGATGCCAGGCCAAGAACATGCTACAATTGTGAACAAACAGGACATTTTAAAAGGAATTGCCCCATAGGAGGAGGGTTTCACAAAACTAGGTATCAAAGGAGTAGAATATCGGGTATTTGCCCACGATGCCGTAGAGGGAGACATTGGGCTAATGAATGCCATTCTCAAACCACATAGAGGGTACTCCATTATCAAAAAACGAACAAGGACCAGGTGTTTATCCACGATATCGTGGAGAAAGGCATCGGGCTCCATTGCCAAAAAACGGACAGGGGGGCCCAATGCTCCGGGGCCCAAAACCACAAATATACGGAGCACTGGAGGAACCCAGCAACCCCATCAGGGTAGTGCCCAGGACACATTGTCCATCAGATCCCTCATCAGACAAACCAGAGGGAGCGCAGGGTTGGACATCTGCGCCTCTGCCAGAGCAGTACTAACTCCAGAAATGGGAGTTCAAATCATTCCCTCAGGGGTAAAAGGACCTCTTCCCAAAGGAACAGTAGGCTTATTATTGGGACGCAGCTCTTCTACTCTAAAAGGACTTATGATAAGTCCTGGGGTAATTGATCCCGACTATGAAGGTGAAATAAAAATTATAGCCAGTTCTCCAAAGGGTATATCAGTAATTTCACCAGGAGATAGAACACCACAGTTACTAATAATACCCAGCCTACATGATAAATTTTCCAGTCGTGCTGTAGAAAGAGGTTCCAAGGGATTAGGCTCCACAGGTGTAGATTGGGCTATGCTTTCTTTAAATTTAGATTCTCGCCCCATGCTAAAACTAAATATTCAAGGACATGAATTTAATGGGCTACTGGATACAGGTGCAGACCTTAGCATCATCTCTCGTCAAGAATGGCCAAAACATTGGCCATTACAACAAGCCACTCAAACGCTTTGAGGCCTAGGAGTGGCGACTAATCCCCATAGAAGTGCAATGGTATTAGATTGGAAGGATCCTGAAGGATGTGAAGGAACTATACAGCCATATGTATTGGATCATCTTCCTGTAAATTTATGGGGATGAGATGTCCTAGATCAATTAGGTTTGACAGTAACAAATAACATCAACCAAAATGCACCCACTATTATGACTAGACAAGGTTTTAGGAAAGGAAAAAGATTAGAAAAACAAAAACAAGGTATAGCAGCACCAATACAAATAGATCAAGGAACAGACAGATATGGGTTGGATTTTCAGAAAGGGCCACTGAGACAATAAAAATTACTTGGAAATCAGAAAGACCAGTATGGGTTCTTCAGTGGCCCCTGACTAAAGAAAAGATACAAGCATTCCATGACCTGGTCAAACAACAATTAGCGGAAGGACATATACAACCTTCTGTATCTCCCCATAATACTCCCATTTTTGTCATCAAAAAGAAATCTGGTAAATGGAGATTACTGCAAGATTTAAGAGCCATTAATAATGAAATGGTTATTATGGGACCTGCTCAATCGGGGATTCCTCAATTGTCTGCTTTGCCAAAAACCTGGTATAGATATTAAAGGTTGTTTTTAGTTATAGATATTAAAGATTGTTTTTTTTCAATTCCAATTCATCCTGAGGATAGTCCACGTTTTGCATTTACTATCCCTGCACTGAATCATGAAGGTCCTGATCAGAGATATGAATGGAAAGTACTCCCTCAAGGGATGGCTAACAGCCCAACTATGTGTCAAATTTATATTAACAAAGTAATCCAGCCACTTAGAAATCAAAATCCTGAACTACAAATATTTCGCTATATGGATGATGTATTATTACCACACAAAGATAAAAACACATTGCTAGAATGTTATGCCACACTTACAAACTTATTAAAAAATTATAATCTAGAGATAGCAATAGATAAAGTACAATTAAATTTTCCAATTAATTATTTAGGAGTTCTATTATCCTCAACCATGGTCTGTCCACCAAAAATTCAAATACGAGTAGATCAACTCAAATCACTTAATGACTTTCAAAAGTTATTAGGAGACATAAATTGGATAAGGCCTTATCTAGGTATACCAACAGGAGAGTTGGGACCTTTATTTGATAACCTAAAAGGTCCATCAGATCCAAATGCACCCCGAATGTTAATGCCTGAAGCAAGAAAGGCATTAAAAATCATTGAAACATATATGGAAAATATGCATTTGGATAGAATTGATATAAGTTTGCCTTTATTATTTATTGTACTACCAACAAAAAATATTCCTACAGGAGTATTTTGGCAAGAAGGTCCATTATTATGGATACATTTATCTTATTCTCCTAACACTATTCTTACTAGGTATCCTGAGGCTGTAGGACAATTAATACTCAAAGGAATAAAAGCAGCAAAGGGAGTGTTTGGAATTTCTCCCAATAAAATTATTACTCCATATACTATGAATCAAATTGATGAGTTAGCTAATGAGTTAAATACTTGGGCAATAATCATGTGCAAATCTAATGTTTCATTTGATAACCACTTACCATCTAATCCTTTATTGTCTTTTTGGTCTTCTCATCCTGTAGTTTTTTCCAAAAATGACAAGAAAAACACCTATCATGAATGCTCCAAATATATTCACTGATGGGTCAAATAATGGTACAGCAGCAATAGTTACACCTGATCAAACTTTTACATTTTTAGTACCCAAACAATCAGCTCAAAAGGTAGAGCTTAATGCAGTATTACAAGCTTTTGTGATGTTTAAAGATTCTGTATTTAATTTATTTTCCAATATAATGCTATAGTATCCCTTGAAGATGCTGGTAGGATTTCCCCTTCCTCTACTGTTTTCTCTTTGCTTTCCACTATACAAAGTCTAATCTGGGATAGAAAAGATACATTCTTTATAGGACATATCAGGGTACATACAGGATTGCCTGGAGCCCTTAGTTTGGGCAATGATTTAGCAGATAAAACTACACATAACATAACATATTTTCTCTACACTAGAAGAAGCTACACATTTTCATAAAAAGTTCCATGTCAATGCTAATACTTTACAAAAGCGTTTTAAAATAACTAAGGAACAAGCTAGACAAATAATAAAACAATGTCAAAATTGTGTGACCTTTTTACCACAAGTTAATCTTGGAGTCAATCCTAGAGGACTGATACCTAACCATATTTGGCAGATGGACGTCACACACTTGCCAGAATTTGGAAAATTAAAATATTTGCATGTTACAGTTGATACTTCTTCTGGATTTTTGATGGGTTCCCTTCATGCCGGAGAAAAAACTAAAGATATTATAGCTCATTGCTTACAAAATCTTTCCACTGTGGGCGTTCCAAAACAGTTAAAAACAGATTATGCCCCTGGTTTTACTTCTACCTCTTTTAAACAATTTTGCTCATCATTTGGCATTACTCATATAACAGGAATCCCATACAATCCACAGGGCCAAGGCATAGTTGAAAGAGCTCATCAAACTATTAAAATGTACTTATTAAAGCAAAAAAGAAGGAATTGGGAAGGGGTATATATTCCCCAAAGATAAACTTAAAATAACACTTTTTACCCTAAACTTTTTAAATTTGGATTCATCAGGGCTTAGTGCTGCGGAAAGGCATATGTGTCCAAAAAATGTACGTAAGTCCAAGGTACTTTGGAAGGATATTCTAACAGGACAATGGAAAAGTCCTGACCCAGTAATTGTCTGGAGTCGGGGGTCTGTTTGTGTGTTTCCACAGGGAGAACAGCAGCCGATTTGGATTCCAGAGAGATGAACTAAGGTCCTGACCCAGTGATTGTCCGGAGTCAGGGGTCTGTTTATGTGTTTCCACAGGGAGAACAGCAGCTGATTTGGATTCCAGAGAGATTAACTAAAGCGATTTCTACAGACCAAAAAGAAGATGATTTGGCTCAAATCCATAACAGCTGATATCCAAAACTCCAGTTTGGCTATCCTTACATCTGCGACAGAACCAGGATGCTTTTTTTCAATATCTATTTTATTATTACCCTTTCCCACATCATGAAGTTCTATTTTGTTTTTTGAGCTCAAACAGACCTAGGTTAATGTTTTGCTGATCAGTTCTATTTTTTTGACTATAGAGTTTTTAAACATTGCAATGGAGATTTCACCTGTAAAAAGTTATAAGGCCTTTACTATTATGTTATGTGTTGTGTGCACACTTGTGTTTTATATTGTATGTTTGTATGTACGTATGTCCATATATCATATATGATGAGCACTCATGAAAAAATGGATCCAAATATTTTTTTTATTCACGTGATTTAAATGATTTAATTTAAATTGGGTAAACAGCTGTTGAGGATTGTTTTAATATGTGAACAAAAAAGGAGGTTAACAGATCTGTTTGTTTACTTTCACCTTTCCTTTTCATTATATTTAATAATTCTGTTCAAGATAATGTAAATTGTTCAGAAAATTGTTTTCTTTTAGTGCCTTCTGGAATGTTACATAATTTTTTTCTTTAGCCATTATTGCCAGAATTCCTATCTTCATCCCAGTGCCGGTGAAGACAAAGATAAAACCAATCTACAGCTTCTGCAATAGCCATCACTGAACTGCTTGCAGAACTTGCCTGGACTATATATCACTTGTATGCATTGTGAACTATCTGTTGGCGCAGCGACTTGTGGTAGTGTTGGGGTATTTTTGCTGATGGTGTCATCGGTGGTACAATTTTTCCAAAAGGAGCCGTGAATTGGCTTGGTGTATCCTCCTCCCTTCTGCTTGTGATGGTTGTTCAGCTAAAATTTGGGGGCCAACAGAGGTGAGGCAAAGAACCTCACCCCCCCCCCCCCCCGCTGGTACAAAGACCTATCCACAGGTGTGGCTGTATGCTGGACCGGTAGTCAATGACCAGTAAGATCCAATTGCAATGGTACCAACCTAGGACAGGAGGCTGATGCCTTGAGGTCAGCTCATCCGACGATGGGTAAGGACCATATGTAGTATTGGACAACCTAAGGCAGGCACGGTCCCTAAGCCACATGCTTGTTGTTTAAACAGAGAGGGGGAGATGTTGAGAGCCACAGCCGAAAGGGGCCACAGCAAACTTCCAGCTGCCAGCAAACTTCCAGCTGCCATCTGATGATTGGCTCACAGCGGCCCCAGCAAACTTCTAGCTGCCAACTGATTGGCTCCTCTACGGTGATGCTCATTGGGCTGTTTCCCTGCCCTTTCAGACCATGGAGCTGCTCATTGGGGGACTTTTTGGCTCCGCCTACGTGACCCAGCCAATCTGCCTCAAGAGCAGGAGGAGTGGGGGAGGTTGAGAGGCTTGTGGGAAGCCGGTGGTGGCAGTTGGGCTCTGAAGGTTTTCCTGAAGAGCTCATGTGTCATGTGTGTTCTAAAAATAAAGTTCATTTCTTTTGGTAAGTGGCTCCTGAATTGTGCCCAGCCAGACTGTGGCAGCCCTCTGTTCCTAGGAGAAGAGAGGTCAAGTTGTTTTATTTGTTCCCAAGGAAAAGAGTCTGTGAGTAACTGGTTGATAGAAGTAGGAACCGATAGCCACAGCTGGTTAAATGTTACACTTCCTATAAGGTGATGTCCAGACCAACTAGTCCAGGAGGATTGTGGTTTGGCAGGCCTGATATCATGGTTTCCTTCTTTTCAGCCTGTTCCAGAACAACTGGACCTCAGAGTAGGAGGACCAGTTCTAAGGTGCTTGAGACCCAAGAAAGAGACATGCAGATCCGGATTTCACAGAGCATGATTTATTGGGGGACTTACTGATGGAAGATTTGTCGTGGGTGACAGCAAAACCAGTTGAATTCCAATAACTTGGGTCAGAAGGAGGAGCAGGTAGCTGGTGACTTCATCCTGGCTGGAAGGTACCTGGTTTATCTCTAACTAATATCTAAGAGGAACATGCATAAAGCCAGATTATGGTTATAAAGCTCCACATGCCACTTGAATTGTTTTGTCCAGTTTTCTGGGAAACCATGCAGAAAAACTGACTAGGATAACTCTGGGGCAATCATGGTGGTTACAAATCAAGATGGCTGCCATCACATCAAGCTGAATCCATATACTGTCATATCTGCCCTCTCAGTGTTAGGTCGGTTTGAGAAGGCTAAGGGAACAAACACCAGGCAACCCACACGTGACAGAAGCACCAGTCAGGTGCTGAGAGAACCACCTGTCAATCAGTGGGGTCTCCTGACCAATCCTGGATCTCAGCAAGCTGCCCTGACCAACCCCAGTAGGACAAGGGACTCTAAAAACCTCCCTTTCCTGTCCCAAGCCCTCCTCTCCTGCCCTAAGCCCAATAAAAATTCCAATCCGGATGAGCCTGCACGCAACTCCCCTGACCCGCACTGTTGGACTGGGGGGGGGTCTCACCCGAAATCAGATCTCAATAAAGCCTCATTCAGCAGCCTTTTAATCTGCCTCCTTTTGGTCACTGGTGCCTGACCTTACATCTGGTGCCAAAACCTGAGAGGGCTTTTTGGGCCTTCCCCATACCTTACATCTGGGGTGGAGACCACCCTCTCCTTCAAATGAAACAGGAAATTCCATAGCTGCTCTTTCTTTCCCTCTCCCTTCATCCAGGTCGACAGGAGTGGCATAAGTTCCCTTGTTTCCCTGACCTTCCAACCCCTCTCTGTCCTGGGGGGGGGGTGGGTCTATCCACGCACTTGCCATAGACACCCACCCATTTTGTTCAAGGCCCCAGGAACAGTGGAGAGGCCTCAGTCCTCATGTGAGCCATTTCGATCCATTTAGGCCCCCGATGGACTGAAGGGATGTCTCAACCACCCCCAGCCCTTATCCATTCCTTGGGTGAGTGTGATCAAAATTTGGGACACCTTTTTCTGCTCCCACTCACCCCCAAGAGTGCCCGGAAGGTCATGGGAAACACTGAGTCCTTCTTAGACCCAAAACACCTTTGGGTTGTCTATATTCCAATTTTGCCAAATTAGAACTCACTCAAGACCTACACCATAAGTGGCTGGTCTTTTACTCCACTGTGGCCCGGCTCCAGTAGGACTTAGACAATGGATCAAAATGGCCCCCAGAAGGAACTTTTGATTTTCAAATCCTCACTGATTTGGACAATTTCTGTCACTGGACAGAGAAGTGGGCAGAAGTCCCTTACATCCAGACTTTTTGAGATTCGCTCCTGTCCTACCCTCTGCTCTTCCTGTCCTACTGCTCAAGTTTTTCTTGCTAGGGAAAATCCCAAATCCCTTTCCCATTGTTCTCCTACATCTTCTTCCTCATTCCCAGATCCCCCCCCCCAGCTGCTCTCATCCCCACCTTCCTGTCTTCCCCCTCCCTACCCAGGCCAATCCTCTCCCTCCTATCCTCCCCCTCCTCTCCTCCCCCTCCTCCTGCAACCACAGCTCCTCCTCTCCTGCTCCCCATAGCTCCTCCTCCGCTGCTCCAGGACCCTCCTCCTCCCTCCTTCTCCTCCTCCTCTCCCTCCTCCTCTCCTGCAGTCATGATTCCTCTGCCCCCTCCTCTACTGATACAACCCTTCCCCTTTCCCCCTCAATGGATCCCTCCACCCACTCACTCCTCTCTTCTCCTGTTAGTGCCCACACCTGGTCCCTCCAGGCCCTCTTATCAGCTAACCCAAAGCTTTTTTGTCCTCTCAGGGAAGTGGCTGGTGGCAAAGTGATTGTCTGTGTACATGTCCCCTTCTCACTTCAAGATCTTTTCCAGATTGAAAAGTGCCTTGGGTCCTTCTCTTCTGACTCTTCTACTTATATTAAGGAATTCCAATACCTCTCTCAGACTTACCATCTTTCCTGGCATGATGTTTATATAGTTCTCTCCTCCACTCTTACTGAGGATAAGTGAATCTGCATCCAGCAGGCCGCATGAGATCATGCTGATCAAATTTGTCTAGCAGATATAACTCTCTCCACAGGTGAAATAGCCATTCCCCTAACCAAACCAAACTGGGGCTACCAGGATGGCCAATGAGGTCGCCATCACTGTGCTCACATGGTCCAAAATCTTATAGTGGGCATGCAGGTGGTTTCCAATAAGGTGGTTAACTTTGATAAGCTGAGAGAAATCACCCAGGATCCAGATGAGAATCCAGCCTTATTTCTCAACCGCCTTACAGAGGCCCTCACCAAATATACTAAGCTGGATCTTGAGTCTCCCTCCAGGGCTACAGTGTTATCAACCCATTTCATTCCTCATTGGCCCATGATATTAGAAAAAAAGCCCAAATGGGCTGAGGAGTGCCCTCAGACCCCTATCTGAGATCTAATGCCCAGGAGGAATCGGCTGAGCTAGGCAGGCAGGCAGGCAGGCAGGCTCAATTGCAGAAAAAAGTAACACTCCAAACCCAGGCCTATGACTCCAGCAAGAGCTCCATGGGGGACCCAGCATTCCTCTCCACCAGGGGATTGCTTCAAATGTGGATGCAAAGGTCACGGGGCTCACCAATGCCCAAAGCCATGGTCCCCCCTCCAGGCTGTGCCCACCTGTTAGCAGACAGGACATTGGAAGAGTGACTGCCCTATGGCTGGCCCTTCCTCAGCACCTCCACATGGGGGTATGACCATCCAAGTTGTCCCTTCTCTTGAACTATTGGGGTTCACAGAAGACTGAAGAAGCCTAGACTCAAAGACCCCCATCACCCTCTCTGAGCCCAGGGTAACGTTCCAAGTAGTGGGTAAGTCCATAACCTTCCTTGTGGACACCGGGGCTACTGATTCTGTCTTGCCTGCCCACTCTGGGCCTCTGAATGTGGATTCTTGACAACAAAAGGATCACCAGTGGTAAATGCCTCTCTGATTTCCTGACACTTAGAGACACTACAACTGCATCATGAGTGGCCATCATACACTGCAGAGGACATCAAAATTCCTCTGGCCCTATAGCTATAGGCAACAATACAGCAGACTCCATAGCATGAGAACTAATGGCCAAATCCTCAGCAGCCTCTATCCTATTTCTATCCACCACAATTAAACCTAACTATTCTCCACAGGAACCACAGGACCTAATAACATGAGGTGGCCATTTCCAGGAGGCTGGCTGGATCTTTCTGGGGGATCAAATTGCCCCCCCCTAAACAGCAAGCTTACAGTTTACTGATGGACATTCATAACTCTCTTCATATTAGCCCCAAGCCCCTTTTCCAGTTTTTACAACCCCTCTTCTTCCCAGGAATGAGAACTACTCTCCAACAGGTCCACTCGGCTTGTTCTATCTGCTCTACAGTATCCCCACAAGGGGGCCTCAAACCTAAACTCCCCACACATCAGATGAGGGGCCACCAGCCAGGCGAAGACTAGTAGATTGACTTCACCCACATGCCTAGGCACAAAAAGCTGTGCTACCTACTTACTTTGGTTGATACTTCTCCAGGTTGGATAGAAGCCTTCCCTACCTCCAGGGAAACTGCTGACACTGTCACCTCCATCCTCATTGAGCAGATCATTCCCAGGTTTGGACTTCCTGCTTCCATCCAGTCAGACAACAGTCCGGCCTTCACTTCTCAGGTTGTTCGACTAGTCTCCAAAGGCCTCAACATCACCTGGAGACTCCACATCTTCTACCAACCCCAATCCTTGGGTCAGGTTGAGAGGGCTAATGGCACTTTCAAGGATCATCCCTCTAATCTTACTATTGAACTCAGGTTCTCCTGGCCCAATCTCCTGCCATTGGCCCTCACCTGAATTCAGGCAGCCTCTAAGCCCCCTCAGGCCTTAGCCTCTTTGGGCTACTCCATGGGTGCCCTTCCTTAATCAACCAAAGCTTTCCAGTCACTTCTCCTCCCCTTGTGTCCTACCTGCCCTATCTCACACTTCTACACAAACTCCTAAGGGAACACGCAGACCAGTGCCTTCCTGTGCCATCTGTTGCCTCAATCCCAGTGCAACCACAAACCAAACTGGACCCTCTTCAACCGAGTGACTCAGTCTTACTTCAGGAACTGCATCCTCTATAATTGGAACCTCACTGGATGGGACCCCATAAGTCATACTTACCACCTCAATGGAAGCCAAGATTTTGGGCCACTCCCCCTGGTACCATGTCTCCTGCCTTAAAAAGGCACTTGTTCCAAATGTCCAGCTCTGGACTTCCACCACGCTGGGGCCACCAAACTCAAAATTTCTCACCAACCCTCTTCTTCTTTTACTAATCATTAATCTCTCTCAAGCTTCTATCCCAACCAACTGATGGCGCTTCTACATCCAAGTGACATGGCAGCAGGATGACACCACACATTCTGTTTATGGGTCAAGGCAATTGCCCTTCCACTGGCTGAAATCAGGCAATCACCCTTAAAATTACTGAATTCAGCGGAGCCACCTGGTCCCAGGTATGTGCAGCAACCCTCTGCTTCCTATCAGACCAAACTGAGGAATCTT